TTGTGAGCTAATTGTATAGTCACAAGAAAATCACTCATCTCCTTTGACTCCCACTTCTTCCATCTGTAAAATGAGGGTGATGGACTTAGATATTTCTACGGTCTTTCCATTATGAACTAGTCTAGTGTTCTAGTTGACCTGACTTTAAGAACTCACTGAAGTGTAGGGTTGGTGCTGGAAAAACAAAGCCCACAGTGGTAAAACTAACACAAAAGTGGGGCCAAGAAAAGAACAGCTCCCCTTCCTCCTCCTGAATGTCTTTGCCTCTCCGTTCAAAGTGGAAATATTCCACACACCAAAGGAGGACTCCCACCCCAGTGCCCTGAACTGGCAGCAATTTGCTGCTTCCTGTGAGGGAAAAAGTGAGGTTTTAAAACAGGAATCTCAGCACTGCCCTGCCCTGCCCTGCCCTGCTCTGGCCCTGAGTTGGCTTGGCTGTTGGGGAGAGGGGTGTTTCCCCCTTTTCAAAAACAAGCAACTGTCACAGGCCAACTCAGGAGAGTAAAGCCAACAGTTCCTGTGTCCTTTCCATTCCACAGCTCCCTAGTTGACTGCCTGGGTCCCCAAGACTTCAGATCCCGGGGCCTGAAGGATATCCAGGTTACTTCTACTCACTGTCCTGCTTGGAAGAGCACAGGGGCAGGACCACCACTAGCCACTGAAACTGAGGTTTTATACCCTGTGGAAGAAGGTGACTTTGGTAGCTAAACAAATAACTCTTAATAGCCCAGTGTATTCTTATATCTGAATGCAGAATCTAAAGACTTCCTTTCCCACAAAGGGAGCTGAAGTGTAGGGTTGTACCTATGGATCCCAGCATCCCCAGCCCAAACTGGACATGAGGGGACAGTTCACCTGAGGATCCTGCAGTGAGACAAGAGGGCAGCTCTTCTGGGTCTTTTGCTCATCACCCTCTATCAGCAGCGCTACACATACCTCTCCTTTCTCCCAGCCATTGCAGATGATATTTCATCTGTCTGCAAGGCTTTTTCTTGGTCCCATCTCTGGAGGGAAGGAGGCCCTGGATCAGGGTGGCTTCTAGCACAGTACTATTGAGTCACTGCAGGTTATACTGGTAAAGTTTTATGTACACAGCCTGTATACATGTGCACATTTTAAGGTTTAAGTATAAAAACATTTATCAGTCATCTCCTATGGTCAATCCCAAAGACAAACTTCTCCTGAAGTACATGTTCCAGGTTCTAAGTCTGGGAGGTGCCAGAGGGTTGAGGATAAGTGGTCTTTCTGATAGACAGCAACCATGCAAGTTCAGGGGCTATGCTTCCTGGCCTGGAGCCCATCAAGTCTTCTAGGATAGGCAGGAAAGCTCCCATATCATAAAGTCATAGCAATGCTGTAACAGAAAGCATCTTGCAGATTACCTAATCCAACTTCATCTTACTAGAGGTACAAAGATAAACAAAGTACAACATAGAACAACTTGCTCAATGTCACACCTAAGTTATGCCCATACTAGGTTTCTAACTGGAGTTGCTACTAAAAGTATCAAACAAAACTAAAAATGTTTGTATAAATGAACTTCAAATCACTCATCAGAATCTTCTAACCATAGGCAAATCATTTTCTGAGAAATTATTTTTATAAATTGTGCATCTAATGATTTGATATGGCTGTCATTAGCTAAATGATACTCCTGAGTTACGATTTTGACATAGCAAACTGCCTCAAATCCTTTAAATAATGGCTCCTTTGCACTGACAATCATTAGGTTTCAGATCCTGGTGCTCTGTCAAAACTGCAAGACACCAAGCACACGGTCCACCCTTCCGGACTCTGTAAACTCATCTGCATCTCAGTATTTTCTATGTAGACCTTCAGAACTGTAGGTCCCTATGACAATGCCACTTTCAACAATCCCCCTGGCCATTGCTAGACATGCCACTAACACCATCAGCCTCACTAACTCTGCCAAAGCTCAGATGCTCTAGAGGAGTGAACCAGCAGTTCCACTGGCTTCATGCCGCAGCCAGGTTCTGTCTCACACCTACCCTGCTCTACATCCTCCACAGGATGATCCCTGCAGAAGACTCAACCTAAGTAGGAAAGAAGATCTCTAAATGTCAACAAGGTTATTCATTCTCTCTTGGTGTCCAGTGATTTTTATATTGCTATCTTGCCATATTCAATATCACTATTGCCAAACAAGCCTTGCCAATACCGAAAACTCACTGACACTGATGCATAGTCATTGTGAAATCTTTAACAATGAGCTTAAACTAGTGGGGTTTATTTCATACCATTCATTGAATTGAAATGCTCAGTATGATTACTGTTTGCCAACTAATATTTTACATTCAATAATGAATAAAATACATTCTACTGTTTTAACAGTTGGCTATACATTAGACTTGCTTATAACCCAGGTCTGACTTAAGTTCCATGTGACCATCCTGTGGAAAAATCTGGCCAAGAACATATTCAGTCTCTAAACACGTTCAGTTACCTTTCAAGGCTATCAGTTACCGCCAGTGTGTCAGTAGACACCAGTAAGAACTTCTAAAGCATCATTCTTAGATCAGCACGCACTTATTATATATCACTCTATGTTCAGCAGTGTGCCCACCACATGATTCCAAGAGACCCAGCTTCAGGATTACATCCTTTAATTCTGATGATGAATGCAACTATCTCAACTGCTTTAAATTTTTATCTCTGCCTTTTATATTCCATGTTCCTATAAAGATCTTTACAAATCATAACCTATATTACATTTTTCCCCTGACAGAAAAAAAAAACATAAATAAGACTGGCACCATAAATAAGTAAAATTTAAGATGGGTATTTGCTGTTTTCAAACAGCTCACATCCTGCTGTGTGCTGTGTTCTGCATTCTATCACAGAAGGCCAACTCTTTTGGTGTAATCATTAAATACCTCCAAGGCATGCCAGTCTCCTTGATCATGCCCAGTACCAAAACATCCTACCATTCTGGGAACTTCCAGCACCTGGGATCAGAGCAGAGAAAATGTAGTAGAAAGCAACCAGACCTCTATTCCTGGGTGAGAGAAATGCAGGACAGAAAATTGGAAGATTGGTGTCCAAGTTCAGATCTCAGATGCACCAGCTAAACTCATTGCAAGAAAATTACAAGGCACCGGATTTATTCAGCCAATAATTCTTTGATTTTTAAGGACTTTTGATCATATTTCCTATTGAGAGCATAAAGAATCGCCTATAAACATGGAATCTTTGTAAGGAGTAAAGTGCAAATATTTGTGCAAACATACACCAATGGTATGAAAAGGACAAAACAAAAGTGCCCTCAAGAATCCAAGTACAATTAAATGGAACAACTGAATTCTGTATACAATTGTGGGATGGTAATTTGGTAAAACCACGTTGGAAACCTCTTTGGCACGATGCAGAAGAGTAGATCATATGATAACCAGAAACCCAGAAATTCCATTTCTAGATACCAACCTAAGAGAACTGAGTATATATCTCCATTAAAAGTTCTATGCAAGCATTTTTATGATATAGCAGCTTTATTCCTCAGGGGGCTGATGGGAAATTATCTCAGTTCCCATCCAGACTAGACTGCTATATAAAGTGTTCAAGGTAACATCTTCCAGTTATGAGGATGAACAACTGCATGAAACAATAGGATGAATATCATAAGTAAAATGCTGAGTAAAAAAACCAGACACAGAGTTTATACATTATATGAGTCCTTTTATATAAATTACATAAGACAAAACTGATCTATTGGGGCTGGGGATTTAGCTCAGAGGTGTAGCGCCTGCCTGGCAAGTGTGAGGTCTTGTGTTTGATTCCTGGTACCAAAAACAAAAAAAAGATCTGTGTTGCTAAAAAGCCAGATAATGATTCCCTTTGGTGTGGGAGTGAAGCAATTAGAAGGGAAGGTAAAGAGGGCTTGAAAGTACTGATAAACTTCTGTTTCCTGAGCTGGGTACTGTTTATATGGATGTGCTCATTCCACGGAATTCATTAAAGTGAACAAGTAAGCTATACATACTTCTATGTTTATATTTGTGAATGAAATAAAACAGAATGAAAGAATGACAGCAAAAGACTCTAATTCTTTATCTATCCCTCTATACAGTCCTGAATTGATTTTTTGGACTGTCCCACTCTGACTCTGAGCATGGTCATGTGACTTATTTCAGCCAGTGAAATTTTAATGAGCATAATAATATGAGCAGTGTCTTGAAAAATGCTTGTACATTCCTCTTGTACTTCTGTTCCTGTGCTATTTCTATGAAAACATACCAAGGCTAGCCCGTTAAAGGATGAAGCAGAGAATAGTCACGTTGCCTAGTCATGAGAGCCAAGACCAACCTAGAGAAGCCAAAAGCCAGCTGCTCCCAGATACACAAGTGAACCAAGACCAAAGAGAAAATAGTTCAGCCTGGCTCTGCATAAACCATCAAACTACAAGCTCGGGAGCAAAATAAAAGCATGTCTTAAGGCACAGAGCCTTAGGTTGTTAAGCTCCATTACTGTGTTGGAGACAAATGATACAACTGTATACTTCAGGTTAAAGTTCAAAACTACCTGTAATACAAAACACGAAAGCACAAATCTTGGCTTAAGAGATTCCTCTTACATATCTGTGAGAAAGATTGCCTCTCTGAGATGTCCTAGACAGTGTGGCCAAAGCAAAGCGAAACAAGTGAAAAACCAGTTTGCAGAAGTTCTCTAAGACATCTAAAAGTTCCCTTTTGTTTTGCCCAGAGAATGAACAAAAGGGTCATCTCTTCCACTTCCCATTTTTTACATGCTCTTACTACACCCTGCTTTATATCAGAAACCCACAATGTTCAACATGCCATATATGGAGAGAAAGGAGAGAGAAAGTATATTATTTTCTGCTTCTGGTTTGGCCATGTTTCATCACAGAGGTTAAAAAACAAAAAACAAAACAACAAAAAACAAAACTAGACTTTTGAACCCACTTGTTTTGATTTTCCCAACATGAACACTGATGGGTTTGAAATTCAGCTGGTTGCCAGCATTACCTGGATTGACCTGAGCTTTTGCAGAACTCAAGACAGGCAGCAGCAGAAGCAGCACCAAGGGCATCCTGGGGAGCAGCGTCATCTCAGAAGATGGAATTGGAACTGGAGCCTGCAGTCCACCGATAATGCAAGGAAACAGAAAGAGAAGGAGAAGATATGAGAGAGGCAGGTACCACCAACATGACAACACAGTTTTCATAGCTAATTTTGTGCTTTGTATTTAGAACACCAGATCACAGCTTTGGGAGGCTTGAGTTGTACATCCAGTAATCACCTAGTATAAAAATTTTCAAACTGTATGTGATAGTACACTCACCACTCACAGAACTAAAATCAGCACAATTATATGCAGACAACAACATTTTCCTAAGACAAATACCCAAATGGCAAATGATGGTTAAGTAAAATTTTTACCTATGATATCAGCAGATGCCATCATAATTTCAATATTGATTCCAGTATTAAACCAAGAAAAATACTCAACAAGTTTAATGCAGTAGCCACTCAAAATTTAAAATTTTAGTATTTCTCCTGATTCATTAGCTCTGGAGTGGCAGCTGGGATTATACAAGATGTGATCAAAATATATGGTGAATGTTTAAATTTTTCAGAGCTTATTGTAGTAAAAGACACATTGCCATATTCCCTTTCAAAATCTCCCCCTCTCTTCAAAGACTTATCCCATTGTTCTTGCTTGTTTCTGAAACAGTATAGAAATCCTCTTTCATGAGTGTTTTTATGCACTCTGATAAAAAATACAGTTAATGTTGCTGGCAAGTGTCATCAAACAAAAGGCAGGCTCACAAAAAATATTATGGTGTGTGCTCTCTCACCTTATTCATTGGTTGTGGCATCTTGTATCTTCTGGGTCTTTCTCAAAGTCAAAATGACCATGAAAAGTAAACATTTTAAATCAATTCAAAACATCCAGGCAGCCACAACAGCACAACTAAAGACACTCACAAAAGTGGACTTCCAGGACTGCTTCAGAAAGTGGTAAGAATGATAGGATAAGTGTATTTGAAAAGGGATTAATGGCGACGTATCTTTTACATTAATAGTTTTGAAGTATTATTCTCATGCTGTATTTTTCAATCATATCTCATATGCTTTTAGTTTCCCAAAGTGATTATGTGATAATAGATTAGATATGGAGATATCAATATTTTTAATAAAGATATAGAGGTATGCATATAAAGATACTTATAGATATTTGTATATATGTGGTAGCATGCTCCTTGCTCTATCTACTCAGAGGACCTAGAAGCAACAACATCCTAGCAGTGAACACCCAGTAACAGTGAGCACACCAGGAGCCTAGATCTTGGTTTCTAATACCATTCTCCAAAGAAGCCAGGTTCCTTGAGGAAAATGGTTGATATTAGGACTGAGGCAAGAATTATCTATGATGAACCTGGAGTAGCTTTAGTACCAGAAACTAAAAAGTGTACACTCAAAAAATGATAGAAGCACATCAAAGGGATACAAAAGTCAAATGAAAGATCTTAATAGCTGAAGTTGGAATAATGTGAGCAACAAAATAAAGGAGTCCTGGATTATAACCCAAAGCACTAAATAAATACCCATGAGTCCATGCTGATGTAAATAAATGACTGAGTAAACAAATGGGAGAAAACAGACCATTTCCCATGCAAAAGAATTCCAAATAATTTATATTACTAATCTCCTCTTAAGGAAGTGGAGCATAGCTACCTCTTTCACTGTGATCCGTCAGTGTGCAGTCATAGCAGCCTGCTTCCAAAGGGTGCAGGACAGAAATGCAGAAAAAAATACTAACTTTTCAGTGGAGAAATCTGACAAACATTACTTCAAGCCGGGTCATCAGCAGCACCAAGTCAGGTTAATAGTATATGTCCTTGATAAGATGTGATAAGGATGACACTTCCGGGGGCTGGGGATTTAGCTCAGTGGCACAGCACCTGCCTGGCAAGCGCTAGGTCGTGAGTTCGATTCCCAGTACCGGGAAAACAAAACAAAACAAAACAAAAAATAAACAAATAAAAAAGGATGACACTTCCCTTTGGTTGTTCTTTCTCTGAAAAAATCACTATCCCAGTCCATTCAAGGAGAAAACATCAGACACATTTCAAACGGAGATGTTCCACACATTCTTAAAGCTGTCAAGATCATCAAATACAAGAAAGTTTGAGAAACTACCACAGCTAAGGGCGATTACAGACGTGATATGTGATATTCTGGATGACCTCCTGGAACAGAAAAAGGACATTAGGAAACACTGAAGAAGCAGAGTAACTTATTGTCTCAGTTACTTTTTTCTCATTGCTGAGACAAAATACCTGGCACCCGTAGTTAAAGGAGAAAAGGTTTATTTAGCTCACAGTTTGTAGAGATTTCAGTCCATAGTTGGCTGGCTCCAAGGCAGTGTGGCTTGGCAGAGGGGGATCACAGAAGAGAACCAGCCCATGGCAAGCACAAGAGAGTAAAAGCAAGAAAGGAAGGGAGAAAACAAGCCTCTTTCTGTTCCTTATTTTTTATCTATGCTACCAGGATTAGGGTAGTGCCAAACCAGTCAGTGGGCTGATTTAGTAATCACACAACCATCACATACTCTAGATTCAGCCACTTCTGAAAAAGCCCCACCCTTGACAGCATGAGGCTTTGGAGGGACATCAAGACACAAGCCATAATAGTTATAGACATTAGTTAACAATAATGTATCAACATTGGTTCATCTATGTTGACAAATGCACTCTACTAATATAATTGCTAACAATAAAGGAAACTAAATGTAGGGTACACAGGAAGGATAAATACTACTTTCATGATTCTGTAAATATAAAACTGTCCTAGAATAAAAAGTTTTTAAAATGTCCTTCATGTAACACTAATAATCCACCAATCATTGGCTTTTATACTAGGAATAGAATGTACAATAAAATGATGAAGGAGGAAATCCCATTAAACTGAAGTGATTAGGGATGGCCTCATGGAAAAATTAGTGTCTGAAGGATGATTAAGATTGTGTGTGTGTGTGTGTGTGTGTGTGTGTGTGTGTGTGTTGTATTGGGAATTGAACCCAGGGCCTTCACACTGAGCTACATCACCAGCCCATTTGTAATTTTTTGTAAATTTTGTGACAGGATCTCACTAAGTTGCTATGTTGCCCAAGCTGGGCTCAAGCTTGCAGTTCTCCTGCCTCAGTCTCCCGGTGTGCTGGGATCACAGAACTGTGCCACCATGCTCCACTAGGATGAAGAGGATTTGCATGGGCAGTAATGGAGGGGGAGTATGTGAGAAGATGACAGGTTTAGGGATAAGACATAATTTTAGGCAGCAGAAGCTTTCTTTGACGATTTTCAAAGAGCAGAATATGTACCTACCCAAAGAGGCAAAAATAAACAAAATAAAGTCGCATATTCTGGTGGTTTTGTCTGAAGTGGCTGGAGCTAAAGAAGCCAACTATGGAAGAGTAATGTGACACCACGGGGTAAGGCAGGGAGTGGCAGGGAATGGTCTATAGACCACGATGGTGATAAACATGGTTTCATTTCACTGATTTGAAGGTGATACATACATGTATCAGTGTGATACTCACTTCCAGCTGTGGAAGTGATGTGTTTCCATAAAGTAACCCTCAAATAACATGCCCAGAGAAAAAAAATACACTAGGCAGATTTTGGAAATACTGGTCTTGGTTACAGTCTAGCACTAGCTCATGACCATGATCTAAAATGTCCAGAAAGAGCTGAACTCTTATTAGCAACTGCTCAGGAAGTGCTGAGGCTCAGGACTGCCTTGGCTGACCACTGTCTCTTCTCAGGCTTTGCAGAAGTCTTTTTCTTCCCTTCCCCCAAACACTTGCTAAATTATTTCTGCATATTTTCCTTAATATTGTTATAAAACTATCTATTTAATTCTTACATTTGAAATGGCTCTTTATTGCATGGCTAGAATAATACTTTATATTGCATACAAAGTATGTGTTCACAGCATATTTTTAACTGATCTAAGCCAAACTTAACTAAATGCTCAAAAAATATTAATCACCTTTTTTGGAGATTTTTTTAATTACTACTACTTTGTTTTTATTATTAAGTAACTTTATTGCTACATGTTTAAATACACATAGTGATCACATTCATCACAGGGAATTTGTACCTATATATGATATATCTCAATTCTTCTTTTTTTCCCATTCCCTTACCCTCCCTTGAACTCCCCTTCTTTTTTTACAAAAGCTTTGTTTCCATTCTTCCTTCTTTTCTCACTTTTTTCCTTCCTTCCTTTCCCCCTCCTCCCTCCTTAGTTCCCCTCCCCAACTGAACATTTTCTTCCTATTTCATAATATCTAGTATATTCTGGTCCTTGTTTACACTTTCATTTTCTCATACCAGAGAAACAATGCAGTATTTACATATGTGTGTACAATTTGTTTCACTTTAGAGTATGGTCTCAAGGTGCATCCATTTACCTAGAAATGGCTCAGGTTTAACCTTCTTTATGGCTGAATAGTACTCTGTTTTATAAAAAAAAAAAATCCATATCTTTTTTATCCATTCATCAGTTTATGGTCTTTTGGGCTGTGTCCAAGAACTAGCTATTATAAACTGTGCTGCTATAAACATGGGTGTGCATATATCCCTCTGGTATGATGTTTTGAATTCTTTCAGGAAGATACAAAGAAGGAGAATAGCTGAGTCAAATGGGACCACTAGTGCAGTTTTTTAAAGAAATTCTCACACTGATTTCCACAGTGGTTGCACAAGTCTACACTCCCACCTTTTTGAAACTTGCTCAGTTTCAGACTGTGACTCTCCAAAAATAGTGATGCTTTTTCTGCTTTTTCCAAAATTCAGGTGACCAACAGGTAACAAACACAGAGGAATCCTATTGCACCTAGAAGCACTATACCTTTACTATGTGTGTCTAATGCATGGTAAGGATGATCTCATGTAATATTCACAGTGGCTCAGTGAGGATTGTTTTCACCAGCAAGGTAGTTGAGAAGGGAGAATTTTAAATTGATCAGGTTACACAGCTGAAAAATTTAAAGAAACAAAACTTTTCTGTGGAGTTAGGGTTTGTATTACTCCAATACCCATATGTTTTTGTTGATGTTCTTCCCTTTTTTTCTTTCTTGTCTGTCATCATACTATACAATCCCTTGATGTAGCCTCTGCCTCCCTGCCCAGAGCCCCTCTCCTGTTCATTTTCACCACAGTCACACTGGGGTTCTCCACTTCTTTTTGTCACTTTCTTTTGCCTGAAGGCCTCTGTCAAGAAGTTCCATTCTTCCCTTTATCTACTTCAGGTCTCCATTCAATGGTCACTTCCTCAACGGAATAGTCTCTGATCTGCTAGATTGTTACATGCACTGGGAACATTATAATCTTTCTATTAAGAAATGATCATAGTTTCTAATTATATAGGCATTGCTGTGATTAGTATCCCTCCATAAGCTCCATGTTTATTTACATGTTATTCTGTTTTCAACACCTGCCGGAGTGCTTGATAAATATTTGCTGGGATGAATTAATGCTTGCCTTGAGCAAAGCCCCAAAACTTACTATCAGCAGACATATTTCTTTCCTATCCCTTTGAATGAATCTTTCCAATGGTTTAATATTTAGCAATGTGACACATGCACAGAACTGAAACATATGTATGGAGGCATATCAAGGAACTAGAAAGGTCCTTCTCTGATTAACTCTTTGATTGGTAGGAAAAATTCCCTTGACAGTTTATTAAAACCCTTAAAAATAAACTCAAAATACAAATTACTCTGGTGAAGTTATTGGCTTTCATTTATTTATTCATCAACTATTTCATAAATGTCTATTGCAGATTATAAACACATTAATAAAAAGGCAGAGATGGTCCCTGTCATCACAGAGCATATAGAGCACATAAAAATATATTAAAACATTTAAAAATACATGGTTAAAAAGGTAGAATACTGCCATAGTAAGTAAGTAAGAGGTCTTCCTGGTAAGGTGGCCTATATGACTATGCTTCTGTTCAAAAATAGAGAAGTAGAACAATGAACAGAATGAGCAAGCCAAAGAAAATTAATGAAATGGGAAGTTATTATAAAAGGAACATTTAACACCAGTGAAGTTTCAGATGACTCAACAGACTTTTCAAAAGCAAATAAAGGTATATCCAAATCTCTCTCAAAATTAAACAGCCAAAAATATAAAGAGAGAGCTGTAAATGTATTTTAACAAAATATAGAATTTGCCATAAGCTAAAAGTAGGGAAGATCTGATCAAATAAGATATGAAAGCAAAACCCATCAGCTGTTAAAAATGGTAATTTTTTCCATCAAAAACCAAAGTTCTTTGATACCAAAAGATATCAAAAACCTAAGAGAAATTCAGCATAAATACATATTTGAAATTGTATAACATAATAACTTTTGATATAAATAATCTATATAAATCATTTTTAAAAGCCACTAGGAAAATGGGCCAATTAATAAAAAACATCTAACAGAGGAGACAACATCATGTCAGTAAACATCCAAAAGTCCTCCAGACCTCACTAGTGGTCAGGAAAAATATTAAAGCAATAGTTGAACACTAATTTTACCTGTCAGATTGACAAAACTTTCAAGTGTGGTGATGTGGTGGACAAGGAGCCGTAGGATTTAATGTTTTCCCTGCTGGATTTCAGTCTTGCTTTGGTCCTTTCTATTCTCCAGTTTCTCTCTTTTTAAATGGAAATCTTTACCTTGTGTCATTGTATGTTCCAAGTATGCACTTTCTTCTTTATTTTTACAGAGACTCACAGATAAGTGTTCGCCTTGAGTCTCAAAGGCGACTTTAAACTTGGACTTTTCTGCCATGCTGGAACTCTTAAGACTTTGTCAAGTATTAGAGATGGAGTAAATGCATTTTGCATAATGCTATGGACATGAGCCTTTGTGGGGGTCAAGGGTGGATGGTATGTTTTAGATCTAAACAG